AGAAAGGGAGAAGAAAATAAAAGTGGGAATAAGGACACTACCGACCAGGGCGAGAATCGAACCCAAGTATAATTGCCGCAACGCTAACTTTCGAACTACTCGGTAAAGCGAGAAGAAAATAAAAGCGAGAATAAGGACACTACCAACTATGGCGAGAAACGAATTCGAGTCTCATTACGGAAGCGCTAAATTTCACACTACTCGAGAAAGGGAGAAGAAAATAAAAGTGGGAATAAGGACACTACCGACCATGGCGAGAATCGAACCCGAGACTCATTCCGGAACGTTAACTTTAGAACTACTCCCTAATGGCAGAAGAAAATAAAAGTGGGAATAAGGACACTACCGACAATGGCGAGAATCGAAACCGAGTCTCATCGCCGGAAAGCTAAAGTTCGAAATACTCGGTAAAGGGAGAAGAAAATGAAAGTGGGAATAAGGACACTACCAACTATGGCGAGAAACGAATTCGAGTCTCATCACGGAAGCGCTAAATTTCGCATTATTCGAGAAAGGGAGAAGAAAGTAAAAGTGTGAATAAGTATAGTACCGACCATGGCGAGAATCGAACCAGATTCTCATTGCCGGAACCATAACATTCGAACTACACGGTAAAGGGAGAAGAAAATAAAAGTAGGAATAAGGACACTACCAACTATGGCGAGAAACGAATTCGAGTCTTATTACGGAAGCGCTAAATTTCGCACTACTCGAGAAAGGGAGAAGGAAATAAAAGTGGGAATAAGGACACTACCGACCAGGGCGAGAATCGAACCCAAGTATAATTGCCGCAACGCTAACTTTCGAACTATTCGGTAAAGGAGAAGAAAATAAAAGCGAGAATAAGGACACTACCAAATATGGCGAGAATTCGAAATTTCGTATAAAAGTGGAATAAGGACACTACCGACCAGGGCGAGAATCGAACCCAAGTATAATTGCCGCAACGCTAACTTTCGAACTATTCGGTAAAGCGAGAAGAAAATAAAAAGCGAGAATAAGGACACTACCAACTATGGCGAGAAACGAATTCGAGTCTCATTACGGAAGCGCTAAATTTCCTTTTCTCGAGAATGGGAGAAGAAAATAAAAGTGGGAATAAGGACACTACCGACCAGGGCGAGAATCGAACCCAAGTATAATTGCCGCAACGCTAACTTTCGAACTACTCGGTAAAGCGAGAAGAAAATAAAAGCGAGAATAAGGACACTACCAACTATGGCGAGAAACGAATTCGAGTCTCATTACGGATGCGCTAAATTTCGCACTACTCGAGAATGGGAGAAGAAAATAAAAGTGGGAATAAGGACACTACCGACCAGGGCGAGAATCGAACCCAAGTATAATTGCCGCAACGCTAACTTTCGAACTACTCGGTAAAGGAGAAGAAAATAAAAGCGAGAATAAGGACACCAACTATGGCGAGAAACGAATTCGAGTCTCATTACGGAAGCGCTAAAACTCGAGAATGGGAGAAGAAAATAAAAGTGGGAATAAGGACACACCGACCAGGGCGAGAATCGAACCCAAGTATAATTGCCGCAACGCTAACTTTCGAACTACTCGGTAAAGCGAGAAGAAAATAAAAGCGAATAAGGACACTACCAACTATGGCGAGAAACGAATTCAGAGTCTCATTACGGAAGCGCTAAATTTCGCTTTACTCGAGAATGGGAGAAAAAATAAAAGTGGGAATAAGGACACTACCGACCAGGGCGAGAATCGAACCCAAGTATAATTGGCAACGCTAACTTTCGAACTACTCGGTAAAGCGAGAAGAAAATAAAAGCGAGAATAAGGACACTACCAACTATGGCGAGAAACGAATTCGAGTCTCATTACGGAAGCGCTAAATTTCGCACTACTCGAGAATGGGAGAAGAAAATAAAAGTGGAATAAGGACACTACCGACCAGGGCGAGAATCGAACCCAAGTATAATTGCCGCAACGCTAACTTTCGAACTACTCGGTAAAGCGAGAAGAAAATAAAAGCGAGAATAAGGACACTACCAACTATGGCGAGAAACGAATTCGAGTCTCATTACGGAAGCGCTAAATTTCGCACTACTCGAGAATGGGAGAAGAAAATAAAAGTGGGAATAAGGACACTACCGACCAGGGCGAGAATCGAACCCAAGTATAATTGCCGCAACGCTAACTTTCGAACTACTCGGTAAAGCGAGAAGAAAATAAAAGCGAGAATGAGGACACTACCAACTATGGCGAGAAACGAATTCGAGTGTCATTACGGAAGCGCTAAAGCACTACTCGAGAATGGGAGAAGAAAATAAAAGTTGGAATAAGGACACTACCGACCAGGGCGAGAATCGAACCCAAGTATAATTGCCGCAACGCTAACTTTCGAACTACTCGGTAAAACGAGAAGAAAATAAAAGCGAGAATAAGGACACTACCAACTATGGCGAGAAACGAATTCGAGTCTCATTACGGAAGTGCTAAATTTCGCACTATTCGAGAAAGGGAGAAGAAAATAAAAGTGGGAATAAGGACACTACCGACCAGGGCAAGAATCGAACCCAAGTATAATTGCCGCAAAGCTAACTTTCGATCTACTCGGTAAAGCGAGAAGAAAATAAAAGTGGGAATAATGACACTACCGACCAGGGCGAGAATCGAACCCGAGTCTCATTCCGGAACGTTAACTTTAGAACTACTCCCTAATGGCAGAAGAAAATAAAAGTAGGAATAAGGACACTACCGACAATGGCGAGAATCGAAACCGAGTCTCGTCGCCGGAACGCTAAAGTTCGAAATACTCGGTAAAGGGAGAAGAAAATGAAAGTGGTAATAAGGATAGTACCGACCATGGCGAGAATCGAACCAGATTCTCATTGCCGAAACCCTGACATTCGAACTACACGGTAAAGGGAGAAGAAAATAAAAGTAGGAATAAGGACACTACCGACGATGACGAGAATTGAAACCGACTCTTATTGCCGGAAAGCTAACTTTCGAACTACTCGGTAAAGGGAGAAGAAAATAAAAGTGGGAATAAGGACACTACCGATAATGGTTAGAATCGAACCCGAGTCGCATTGCCGGAATACTAACACACGAAATACTCGGTAAAGTGAGAAGAAAATAAAAGTGGTTTTAATCTTGCGAAAATGGCAAGAATTGATCCCAAGTCTCATCGCCGGAACGCTAACTTTCGAAATACACGGTAAAGTGAGAAGAAAATAAAAGTGGGAATAAGGACGCTACCGACTATGGCGAGAATCGAACCCGTGTCTTATTGCCGGAAAGCTAACTTTCGGAATATACGATATAGGGAGAAGAAAATGAAAGTGGGAATAAAGATACTACCGCCCATGGCGAGAATTGAACCCAAGTCTCATTGCCGGAAAGATAACTTTCGAAGTACTCGAGAAAGGGAGAAGAAAATAAATGTGGCAATAAGGACACTACCGACCATGGCGAGAATTGAAACCGAGTCTCATTGCCGGAACTTTAACTTTCGAACTACACAATAAAGTGAGAAGAGAATAAAAGTAGGAATAAAGACAGTACCGGGCATGGCGAGAATTGAACCCGAGTCTCATTGCCGGAACGCTAACTTTCGAACGACACGGTAATATGTGAATAAAATAAAAGTGGCAGTAATGACTCTATCGACTATGGCGAGAATTGAAACCGAGTCTCCTTGCCGTAAGCTAACTTTCGAACTACACATAAAAGGAGACAAAAATAAAAGTGGAAATAAAGACAGTACACACCATGTCTAGATTTGAAACCGAGTCTCATTGCCAGAATGCTAACCTTCCAACTACACGGTAATGGAGAAGAAAAAAAAGTGGGAATAATGACACTGCCGAACATGGCGAGAATTGAAACCGAGTCTCATTGCCGTAAACTTTCGAACTTCCCGATAAATGGAGAAGAAAATAAAAGGGGAAAAAAGTGAGTACCGTCCATGACGAGTATTGAACCCGAGTTTTATTGCTGGAAAGATAATTTTTGAAGTACTTGATAAAGTGAGAATAAAATAAAAGTGGGAATAGAGACAGTACAGACAATGTCGAGAATTGAACACAAGTCTCCTTGACGGAACGCTAAACTTGGGACTACATGGTAATGTGAGAAGAAAATAAAAGTGGGAATAAGGACACTACCGACCAGGGCGAGAATTTAACCCGAGTCTCATTGCCGGAACGCTAACTTTTGAACTACATGATAAAGGGAGAAGAAAATAAAAGTAAAAATAAAGACACTACCGGCTATGGCGAGAATTGAACCCGAGCCTCATTGCTAGAAATCTAACATTCGAACTACTCGGTAAAGAGAGAAGTAAATAAAAATAGGAATAAGGACACCACCGACCATGGCGAGAATTGAACCCGATTCTCCTTGCCGGAACGCTAACTTTCGAACTACACGTTAGGGTGAGAACAAAATAAAAGAGGGTAAAATGATAGTAGCGAAAATGCGAGAATTGAACACGAGTCTCATTGCTGGAAATCTAACTTTCGAACTCCTCGAGAAATGGAGAAGAAAAAAAAATTGGGAATAAGGACACAACCGACCATGGCGAGAATTGAAACCGAGTCTCATTGCCGGAACGCTAACTTTAAAACTACACGATAAAGGAAGTAGAAAATAAAAGTAGGAATAAATACAGTACCAGCCATGGCGAGAATTGAACCCGTGTCTCATAGCCGGAATGCTAACTTTCGAACTACTCGGTAAAGGGAGAAGGAAATAAAAGTTGGTAAAAGTAAAGTACCGACTATGGCAAGAATCGAACCCTAGTCTCATTGCCGGAGAGCTAAATATTGAACTGCTCGATAAAGGAAGAAGAAAATAAAAGTGGGAATAAGGAAATACCGACCATGGCGAGAATTGAAACCGTGTCCCATTGCCGGAAGGTTAACTTTAGAACGAGACGATAAAGGGAGAAGAAAATAAAAGTGGGAATAAGGACACTACCGATCATGGCGAGATTTGAACCCGAATCACATTGACTGAAACTAACATTTGCACTACACGGTAAAGCGAGAAGAAAATAAAAGTGGGAATAAGGACGGTACCGACGATGGCGTGAATAAAACCCGAGTCTCATTGCCGTAAGCTAACTTTCGAACTACACGAAAAGTGAGAAGAATATAAAAGTGGGAATAAAGGTAGTACCGGCGATTGCGAGAATTGAACGCGAGTCTCATTGCCGGAAAGCAAAACTTTCGATCTACTCGGGTAAGGGAGAAGGAAATAAAAGTGGGAATAAGGACACTACAGAACATGGCGAGAATTGAAGCCGAGTCTCATTGCCGGAATACTAACTTTCTATCTATTCGGTAAAGGGAGAAGAAAATAAGTGGGAATAAAGACTCTACCAACGATGGCGAGAATTGAACCCGAGTCACATTGACTGAAACTAACATTCGAACTACTCGGTAAAGTGAGTAGAAAATAAAAGTGTGAATAATGACACTAACGACCATGGCGTGAATTGAACCCGAGTCTCATTGCCGAAATGCTAACATTCGAACTCTCGTGTCAGTGAGAAGAAAATAAAAGTGGGAATAAGGACAGTAAAGACCATGGCGAGAATGGAACCCGAGTCTCATTGCCGGAAAGCTAACTTTCGAACTACTCGGGAAAGCTAGAATAACTAAAAGTGGGAATAAGGACACTACCGACCATGGCGAGAATTGAACTCGAGTCTCATTGACGGAATGTTAATTTTTGAACTACTCGGTAAAGGGAGAAGAAAATAAAAGTTGGAATAAGGATAGTACCGACCATGGCGAGAATCGAACCCGAGTCTCATTGCCGCAACGCTAGCCTTCGACCTAATCTGGTAAGTGAGAAGGCTATAAAAGCGGGAATAAGGACAGTACCGAACATGGCGGGAATTGAACTCGACTCGCATTGCCGCAACGCTAGCTTTCGAACTACTCGGGTAAGAGAGAATGAAATAAAAGTGGGAATAAGGACACTACAAACCATTGCGTGAATTGAACTCGACTCTCATTGCCGGAACGCTAACTTTCGAACTACTCGGGTAAGGGAGAAGGAAATAAAAGCGGGAATAAGGACAGTACAGACCATGGCGAGAATCGAACCCGAGTCACATTGCCAGAAAGCTAACTTTCGAACTACTCGGGAAAGCTAGAATAACTAAAAGTGGGAATAAGGACACTACCGACTATGGCGATAATGGAACCCGAGTCTCATTGATTAAACTAACATTAGAACCACTCGGTAAGAAAACAAAAGTGGAAATAACAACGCTACCGACGATGGCGAAAATGGAACCCGAGTCTAATTGCCGTAAGCTAACTTTCGAAATGCACGATTAAGTGAGAAGCAAATAAATGTGGGAATAAAGATAGTACCGACCATGGCGAGAATCGAACCCGTGTCTCCTTGCCGCAACGCTAGCTTTCGAACTACTCGGGTAAGTGAGAAGGAATTAAAATTGGGAATAAGGACACTACCGACGATGGCGAGAATTGAACCCGAGACTCATTGCCGGAATGCTAGCTTTCGAATTACTCGGGTAAGTGAAAAGGAAATAAAAGCTGGAATAAGGACACTACCGACTATAGCGAGAATTGAACGCGAGTCCCTTTGCCTTAAATCTAACTTTCGAACTATTCATGAAAGGGGAAGAAAATAAAAGTGTGTATAACGACACTACCGACCATGTCGAGAATCGAACCCTATTCTCATTGCCGGAAAGCTAACTTTCGAATTACTCGGGAATGGGAGCAGAAAATAAAATTGGCTATATGGACACTACCGACCATGGCGAGAAACGAAACCTAGTTCTCATTGCTGGAAATCTAACTTTGGAACCACTCGGTTAATGAGAAGAAAAAATGGGAATAAAGACACTACCGACCATGGCCAGAATTGAACCCAGGTTTCAATGCCGGAAATCTGACTTTCGAACTATTCGGTAAAGGGAGAAGAAAATAAAAGTGGGAATAAGGACACTACCGACCGTGGCGTGAATTGAACTCGAGTCCCTTTGCCGGAAATCTAACTTTCTAACTATTCGTGAAAGGAGAAGAAAATAAAAGTGAGTATAAGGACACTACCGACCATGTCGAGAATTGAATCCGATTCTCATTGCAGGAACGCTAACTTTCGAACTACTCTGTAAAGGGTGAAGAAAATAAAAGTGGGGATAAGGACACAACCGACCATGGCGAGAATTGTAACCGAGTCTCATTGCCGGAACGCTAACTTTCGAACCGCTCGGTAAATGAGAAGAAAATAAATTTGGGAACAAGGACACCACCGACCATGGCGAGAATTGAACCCTAGTCTCTTTGCCGGAACGCTAACTTTCGAAGTATTCGGTAATGCGAGCAAAAAAATAAAAGTGTGAATAATGACACTACTGACCATGGCGAGAATCGAACCCGAGTTTCATTGCCGGATGCGATTACTTTCGAACTAGTCGGGAAAGGGAAAATAACTTAAAGTTGAAATAAGGACAGTCTATTAAAAGATTGATACGTGCCAAGCCGCGACTATGCCCTTTACACTGTATCGAATCAGACTTATTGACTGCGTATTCTTTTGGTGAAAGGTCGTTTCATTCAGAGAGATTCTTCCCAAGAACTGCTACCTTCTGGAACAGACTCCCGACTGAATGCTTGCCCTATCACTATAGTCTTTACCATTTCGTGTCTCGGGTCAATTGTTATCTACTTTCAACAACCCCATTCAGCGGGCCTCCATTTCCAGTGTCTCTTGGCATTGTATTGGTTAAACAACATTAAAAAAAGAAGTATGTGTTTGTATGTGTGCGTGAGAGAGAGAGAGAGAGAGAGAGAGAGAGAGAGAGAGAGAATTATATATAGAGAGAGGGGATACCTAGTAGAGAAATCCAGAGAGAAGAAATGAAATATTTAGATCTTTCGAGAGGAGAAGCTTTCAAAATGAAAACAACTCGAAATTGAAACTGAATAATTTTGGAGAATCCTTTTTGTCGTTTTTATTTTTAAATCCCTACTTTCCTGCTTGAAGAGTTGAGCTGCATTTCGAATTTGACGTACTTAAGGCGTCGCTAATTCTTTAACATTTGCTAGATTTTAAAAAATAAACGCTTTCAAATATTTTATTCCTGTACTGATTCTTATTGAAGCTACGAGTCAAACTCCAAATCGTAAATCTAAGACATAATCTACTCTAACACAGTAGCAATGGTGAAAACTCAAGCCTTACTCTTGTTAGTACAGTTCTTCTTATTCAATTTGCTGTGTCCGTTCAGGACTTTGGTGATCATGGCTTTCCGTAATTTTCTGTTCTTTGTAGTTCTTAATAGATGTTGTCTTTTTAAAATCTCTCCTAAAATAGTAAATAGTTGTTCATTCAACTATTTAGTTAAATTCACGAGGAGGGTTATGCGTTTCTTTTCTCTATCCCTCTTGTCTCTGTTCTGTGAGTATCAAATTTTCCAAGCTTTCTTTCCTCATTATGTGCCCTAGAAATCTCTTCTTGATGTTTAGTGTAAGTGTGCTTTTTGTTTTCATTTTGTCTAAAACAATTATTTCAGTCACAAGGAAAGCTTTGCTTTAGTTTAATTCTGTTAACCGTATACTTTTTATATGAGAGCCAGAAAAAGCAGAAAAAGTTGTTTTATTATCACAAGTTTCAGTTTGTTTTCATCTTGCTAGATTTGTTTGACGTCAGCATTTACTTCCATTGTGACCTCAAATAATAAAGTGTTCTATTCTCTGCTTCACCACTGAGATATAAGAGCATGTTTTGGAAGGATTTCTATCAAAATTGTCTGAGAAATGTATGCCGTATTTTTTTTTTAAGTTTAAAGGCTTTTTTTTTTTATCTTTTTACGAAAACCTGATTTTTACATTCCGAATTTTCTTAAACATTCCATAAAATTTATCGCCGTAATCTTTTAAAATAAGTAATTTCACAAATCGACACTGTTCCAATAATTTTCATCCAAATATAAAAAAAATATTTTATGTTTGGCATTAAAAAAAATGTAATGTTTCCCAGATACAAAGAATAATTGTTTGTGCTATCAGTCGATTGATATATATATATATATATATATATTTTATTGAAAGCGGTTACTCGTCGTGCAGACAAAGATAGCGATGTGCTTGATTGGTAAAGAGAACGTGTTTGTTTGCAGGTATTGATCCAAAGAAAGTTTCTATTCTAATGGTAGGTAATCATGTAAAAGTTGCCGGAAAACTTTTACCTGTTCGTTGTATTTTATACTGTTTTAAAGTCGTTATTGCATGGAAAATATTTTTAATCCTTCTTCTGTTTAATGAAACCTTCAAATGTTTCTATTTGATGCAATACTTAAATAGAGGAAAATAGAAAAAAAATATGTGAGATAGGAAGAGAAATTTAAAAGAAAAAAAGAGAAGAAAGACGTAGAACACGATAGAAAATGATAAAAACGTGAAAATAGAAGTTAGATAAGAATCCAAAGAGAGAAACAGCAGATCATAAAGTATGGATGCAACTGGAGGCAATGTAAAATGAAACGAGGAAAGAGAAAAAGCAGAAAGAAAAATATACATTGACGAAATCCGAGATAAAATAATGAAAAAGAAAAAAAAAAGAGTATGCACTTGGAAGAAGCATTTTGTTAAATAAGGAAATAGGTTACAGCTTATATATACAGGGGGATTTGGTTTACAAAGTATTCTTTGTCGCCTTATACCAGATGTGCACACTGACTGGAACTTGTTTCGGTCGAATGCCGTTAAGTGCTCAGGATTCCATCCAGCCTCGACATTCTGTCATGATTCACTGGAATGGAACTTAAGCTAAGTAACTAATAACTGTAAAACGGAAGGCGCTTTAAATGCTCTGATCTGCAAAGAGGCGAAACAAAGATCTTCCAGCGTTTTCTGTATAAATTTTCACATGAAAATATCAGTTGGTGTAGAGCCAGCAAGCGAGCCTTAGGAAATTATTCGCTTGGACAATACGTAAGATCATCACGGTGAATCCCATCCTTGTTACCCTGATCGCCTTGCAGTGGGGCCGGGTTTATCGGTTTTGTCTTGCTGTGTGTACTTAGTATGATACTTACTGAATGTACATGTGTTTGTGGCACTATTTCGGCTGAAATTTCGGAAAAGGTTTAACGTCACATGACGTAGATTTCTGATGAATAACGAGATTTCGGAGGATAAAGAAAATACAAACATTACAAATAGCTACAAAGGATAGAAAGTCGTGGAGGACTATGATCTTCCACGTCCTGAAGGAACAGAGGTAAACAACGAGTAATCTATCTAGCAAGCTTCTGCAAATTGAAGGCAGACTATGGAGTGGGAAGTATACTAGAAAAAAAACAAATATTGCTAACAGATAGAAAGGATAGGAAATTGTGGAGAGCCGTGATCGTTTCCGTCTGAAAGGGACAGAGGGAAACATTGAGTGGCCTACCTAACGGTTTTGTGTAAATAGATGACAGACGAAGGATTAAGATTGGTAGGAAGTTGTGGAGATCCATGATTACTCAGATCTTGAAAGAATGGGTGTACTACTCATCAGATGTGCTAAATTCTTTTAGTTTGAAGTCAAAAACAATTTGGCGTCTTATCATAGTTATATGTTTGAGAGCTACTTTTTGTCGACAATATAGTGATTTTTATGTTCACTGGATGCTCCATGCTTGAGGCCGTTTGTTAGTATGAACTAAACATAGTAAATATGAGCATTTATATTTATTGGCTTCAAACTGGTTTTGTTATCCTTTATAATAAATTTCATAGGTTTTCTAAGTATGTCATAGTAGCGATTTCGATATCTGCCTTGATTAGCCTCGTTTTGAGTTTCAGATTTATGATTTTGTAAGTGCTTTCAACAAAATAAATCAAAATGCTGCTGTCAAAGCCCGAACCACTATGGCTACACATAATAAGAGTTCGCCTCCCTGTACTATGATAAAAATATACACGTATGTCGAGTAGTCCAGCATTAGATCACTCGATCGATAGATAGGCAGAAATAGACCGAAATAGGCTACAAAACAATCAGGTTGTATACATTTTTACCGAATGCACATATAAAAGAAAACATTTTCTGTGAAAGTTACAGAAAGTTAAAATTATTTAACAAATTTACTCGGTAAGTTTGTTATCTATGTACATAATACGGCACATTTTCATATTTATCATCGGTGATGAAAGTTTCTGTTTTAAAAAAAGTTATCTCTCTTGAATAAGCGACGCTAGATGGCAGTCCTTTTGTTATGAAAATGGCTGACTGTTTACGAAAACGAAAAAGACCAATTCTGTGAAATAGTACAACAATAATGATTGGAAAAATACATTTAAAGATTCAATTTCTCATAAACTTTGTCATAAGAGTAAAAATTATTAAAAATGCATTAATTTTTATGGTATTGTGCCATAAGTCAAAGTCTGGTGAGGCAAAATATATTAATAATAATTCAAGAAAAGTTTCCTTTTAATAAATGAATATTGTTTAAATTGTGACTAGATTGTTGAAGTTTCGGATGGATATATATGTTGTACATCTTCAAAAACATGAGGGAATGGATTTAGCCGTGTTATTGAATATTATTCGCTTACGTTTGTCATACCAGAAGTGAGGCACTTTGTGTCCTCCACATGTTTTGACTGACCTTTGAGCCACCTAATGAACGTTTCAAATTTAAAAACCTTGATAAACCACTGACATTCTTGTGATTGTATATAAAAACGTACAACAAAATAAACCCTACATTGTCCCTTGATAAAGTCCCTCAGAGGACGAAATAATGATAATAATAAGATTAACTCCACCAGAAAAAAATACACCGTCCACAAAAACATCTGTCGGTGAGTAATTACCATTTCTCTGTTTATTTTTAGCCCCGTAGATGAAGGACAGTCTTCCCGTGCATCATTTCTGTCATATGGTTAATAATTAATATGAAGAAATGTTTTATGTATGGATTTTATTGGTACCCTCTCTTTTGTTCGAGTTTCATTAACTAACCTATCTATTTCCCATACTATAAGAAGCACACGCGGACCCTTTCTTCTAATTTATATATATATATATATATATATATATATATATATATATATATATATATATATATATGTGTGTGTGTGTGTGTGTGTGTGTGTGTGTGTGTGTGTGTATTCATTTGTATTTGACCAGCAACCGTTCTTTCTTGCATCTTTCATTGAAAACGGGCGACAAAGGAATTTTAATTAATCTTTTATTGAGATTTTTTTCTGCAATCGAACATTTAAAGAATACAGGAAGTTAGTAGACGTGATGGCGTGTGAAAAATGTTCAAAAATAGAAGTATTGCCCTGGTCAACTGGCCGCACATAGCACGTGACCGCCAAGAAGCACACAAACCGTTCGAACGCCACAATATAAAATTATCATGTAGTAGCCACACAAAAAATTTCATCATCGAAAAACACATCCTTGATAATGGCTACAAATTTGCCAAAAGCACCCGGAAGAATTATAACTATGAACAATTCCTATATTCTTTAACCCCTGAAAAACGGAAAAAATGTTAGATTGCTGTAAAAAAAAAACACAGTAAAAGATTCATTAAATCTTCCATGTCGGCCGTTATCCATGAAAAAAATATATATATATATATATATATATATATATATATATATATATATATATTATAAAAAAAAAAAGAAAAGTAAGATATATAATCTGCTGTCCTTATTGATATTTTTATTTTTACAAAACAGTGCTCAATGTAAATTTACAGAGCATAAATATTATAATTTAACTGATTTAAAATATGGTTTCTTCACTACACAGGAATTACCATGATTCAAATAATTTTAATTTAATTATATAATTAAAATTGAAGTTTTTAACTTGGTTTTTTAAAACATGGTAATTCCTGTGTAGCGAAGAAACCATGTTTTTATATCTAATTATATTATATATATATATATATATATATATATATATATATATATATGTGTGTGTGTGGGGGGTGTATATATATATATATATATATATCAGACAGAGTGGTGAAAACCTTCCAATAATAGTAAGGACTTAGCAAAATATGCCAATATTTTATCCGGTATTGGTAATCTATTAAGTAAAAGAAAAGCGAGAAGGAAAGACTAATTATTAACTGTCAGAAGGCAGAATTATGATCGCCAGCAAGAGGAGTGACAGAGCAATGTATGATATTCAGAAGGGAGACATCAAAACAAACCGGGTACAGAAGTTTAACTATCATGATAGATTCGTAACAGATACTGCAAAGTGTGACAAAGTCACAAGAAGGTGCGTTTTGAATAGCGTAGACTGTGACTTTGAGCGACTAAAGAATGTAGTAAGAATGATAAGAATTCCTTTTTAAAGAATCGAATGCTGATTTGTGATGTAATATCTATACTTCCATATGACAGTGAATTCTGGACAATTTCCTCAGCGATGAAGGTGAACTTAAGAATACCATGGACAGAACATGTGTGCAACGAGGAAGTTTCAAGCAAAATAGGAACGGGAAAGACCTTTATATGTTCAATTAGAAAGTGATAGTTTTTGAGGCAGATAATGAGAAAGATTTCGTACTTACAAGGTATATTGAAAGCAAGAAGGAAAAAGGGAAACAGTTTTGACGTGTTTATGCAAAAGAGTGGCTCAACATGATCTGGGAGGGGGATGATAAGGGCACAAGCCTTACATAGAACTACAAGGACAGGAACCCGTTGTGACATCGTCCCCCGGTCGCAGCGCCAACTGTGACGTTCTTTCCTGATCTACCACGGCGCCAGTTGTGACGTCCGCAAACAGCACCAATTGTGACGTCCTCGCCGCGGCGCCAGCTGTTCGCTCCTCGCTGCTCCGTCCGGGTGTCGCTGCTCCAAACGTGACGTCCGCCTGTCGCGTCAGTAGTGTTGTCTCGTCTTGTGACGACCAACTGGCTTGGTATCGGTCGGGGCACCCAAATGTGACGTTCTAACCTTTTGGTGATTCGGGTGGGAATCTGGATATCAGCCTCGTCGTTCCCAACTCGCTTCCAACGCCTGGTTACCAAGGTAACTGCATTGATCTCCAGTCTGCCTACCCACGTTGTGAATTGATCTTAGACAGACGAGATCAAATATTGGTTGGGGCCGTAATGCAAATTGAGTTCAACGGGGTTGATACTACACAAATATGCATAAAAGAAAAGAAAATGAAAACTCAAAAAGTTCAAAGTATCAAAGAAAAAGGTAACAAACTTTATGTCTAGTTGTTCGATACATAGGACTGCATCTATCTCCCGACTCGTTCTGTGGATTGTGACACGTCGTTTCCGCTAGGCAAGTTTCAACGCTTCAAGTTGTTTGCTCTCTAAGAAATTGGTGTTTCGGTGTGTCTTTGGACGAAAGTCGAAAAAAACTTATTTCGGTGGTCTGGTTCTAAGTCGCTCTTCAAAATAATTGTTCTTGGGTTGAAGAGGAGTCCTAAATTTGCGTGAATCTTGGTCAGCTATCTCCGAGGCGGTTTCAACTGGAGACTGACTCTGGGAACTCAACTCTGGAAACTCGAGCCCGAACTGATTTCTGCC